ATGTGTATTAATACTCATACCATCAGGATCAGTACCAACGTGATGGGACGGACACGTTCAGTTATTGTTCAGACGTGCCCTTCCCGTCCTGCTGTGCGTCGTCATGTGACTCAGCAGTGACGAGGGCAGACGATGGTTTGAGAGAGAAACCACAGCAGAGAGAAAGAGGAGCTCCATGTGAGGGTGTGGTGTAAAAAATTAACACTGCTGAGAAAACAGAGGCTCGTGCTCCTCGACATATTCCAGTCTGATCATTTCAGGTTTAATAACTTGATTAAGGTTTAAACTGTTGACAGTTTTGCTTCAAACCGTCACGTTTGTGTCGACTGAACTGCAGAAAAACTGAACTTTTATGACCTTTTTGAACAAGTGAGGACGTATCCAGGACTAAAAAAAACTAAACTCCCTAATCTAAATACGACTTAGGCTCAGTCAGGAAACAAAAACGATAAGTAATTCATCTGGCTGGCCATCAATTCTGCAGAAGTTAAAAGTTATTTGTAATAAATTATGGGATTATTAAGCAGCAGGCTGTCATTTCAGGTCATGTCAGACCAAAGGGAAGTCTCGTTTACATAAAGCTGGTGGTTCGTTTTACCACAAGTCCTCGTGTCGGTGAAAACATCTTCCTGCTGACAAACAGTAGAAGAGAACGTTTTATTTTTGTCTAAACTGACGCACTAAAACAAGAAGAAAACACCTTCAGGCTGATTAAAGGGAAGTTTCAGATCATTTCTCTGTGGGGTTCTGTAGAAACTTTATGCACAAACAAGCAATATCTTACCTGTTGTACATAGCTCTTTGAACGACCAAAACGTAGACAACATAACGTATCAAAAGGCTGTTAGAAACAAAGCACAGTGGTAATTATAAGCTAAAAGTAGCAAAAGGCTGTTAAAAGCTAAAAGTAGCACAATAGTAAATAAAAGCTAAAAGCAGCACAAGGCTGTTAGAAGGTAAAAATATCAGAATGGTAATTACAAGCTAAAAGTAGCAAAAAGCTAACTTAATGTATAAAAGGCTGTTAAAAGCAAAAAGTAGCAGAATGGTAATTAAAAGCTAAAAGCAGCAAAAGGCTAGCTTAACGTATCAACAGAATGTTAAAAGTTAAAAGCAGCAGAATGATAATTAAAAACTAAAAGTAGCAAAAGGCTGTTAAGCTTAAAGTAGAAGAATGGTAATTAAAAGCTAAAAGTAGCTAAAGGTTAGCTTAACGTATCTAAAAGCTGTTAGAAGTTAAAAGTAAAATGGCAATTAAAAGCTAAAAGTAGCTAAAGGTTAGCTTAACGTACCAAAAAGCTGTTAGAAGTTAAAAGTAAAATAGTAATTGAAAGCTAAAAGTAGCTAAAGGTTAGCTTAACGTATCAAAAAGCTGTTAGAGGTTAAAAGTAAAATGGTAATTAAACGCTAAAAGTAGCTAAACGTTAGCTTAACGTATCAAAAAGCTGTTAGAAGTTAAAAGTAAAATAGTAATTGAAAGCTAAAAGTAGCTAAAGGTTAGCTTAACGTATCAAAAAGCTGTTAGAAGTTAAAAGTAAAATAGTAATTGAAAGCTAAAAGTAGCTAAAGGTTAGCTTAACATATCAAAAAGCTGTTAGAAGTTAAAAGTAAAATGGTAATTAAAAGCTAAAAGTAGCTAAAGGTTAG